ATGAGGGCCTCCCAAGGACACCCACTAACATGGGCAGCTCCAAAGCAGGTTTTCCAGAGCAAATTATGTTATTGGTCACAGGTAGGAAGTGGGTAAGAGGAGGGGAGTGTTTATGTGCAAGTGGATGTGTGTATGTGTGTGTGAGAGAGAATTTGTGTGTATGTGTAAGACAGAGGGGAGCGTATAAGAGAGGTTGTGTGGCTGTAAGAAGATGTGTGTACATGTGAGAGGGTGTGTGTGTAGGTGTAAGAAAGTGGGCTGTATAAGAGAGGTTGTGTGGGTGTAAGAGGATAAGTGTATGTGTAAAAGAAGATGTGTTTGTATGTATAAGAGAGGGTGTGACTAAAAGAGAGAAGTTGTGTGGGTGCAAGAGGGGGTGTGTGCATTTAAAAGGTATGTGTGTAAAAGCATGCGTGTGTATAATGGGGATCCATGTGTGTAGAAGAGAGGTTGTGTAAGAGAAAAGGGGTGTGTATAAAAGAAGTTGTGTGCATGTATAAGGTGTGGGTGTGTAAATGTGTGTGTAAGAGGGGGTGCACATGCGTAGGAGGCATGTGAGAGAAAAGGGATGCATGTAAGGGTGTGTGTGCATGTGAGAGGTGTGTATAAATGTGTGTTTAAGAGGGGGTGCATCTGTGTAGGAGGTATGTGCGAGAAAAGGGTGCATGTAAAGGTGTGTGTATATGTGGGGTGGGTGCGTAAATGCATAAGAGAGGGGGTGCACATGCATAGGAGGTGTATGAGAGAAAAGGTGTGCATGTATGGGAGTGTGTGGGGTGTGTGTAAATGTGTGTATAAGAGGGTGTGCACAGGTGTAGAAGGCATGTGAGAAAAAAGGAGTACATGTAAGAGTGTGTGTGCATGCGAGGGGGTTATGTAAATACGTGTGTAAGAGAAGGGGTGAATGGGTGTTGGAGGTGTGTGAGGAAAGAAGTGCATGTAATTTCATAGACATCATCATAGACATTAGGGCTGGAAGGGACCTCGGAAGATCATCGAGTCCAGCCCCCTGCCCAAAGGGCAGGAAGTCAGCTGGGGTCATAGGATCCCAGCAAGATAAGCATCCAGTTTCATCTTGAAGGTGTTCAATGAAGGCGCTTGAACCACCTCTGGTGGCAGGCTGTTCCAGACCTTGGGGACTCGGACAGTGAAGAAGTTCTTCCTTATGTCCAGCCTGAAACGATCTTGAAGTAGTTTGTGACCATTCGACCTCGTTATCCCTAGGGGCGCTCTGGTGAACAAACGTTCCCCCAGATGCTGGTGGTCACCCCTGATAAACTTGTAGGTGGCCATCAGATCACCCCTGAGCCTGCACTTTTTCAGGCTAAAGAGCCCCAGGGCTCTCAGCCTGTCATCGTAGGGTCTGCTTCCCTGACCTCTGATCATGCGCGTGGCTCTTCTCTGGACTCTCTCAAGCTTCTCCACATCCTTTTTGAATTGTGGAGCCCAAAACTGGAAGCAGTACTCCAGCTGCGGCCTCACTAAGGCCGAGTACAGGGGGAGAATGACGTCCCGGGATTTGCTTGAGAAGCATCTATGGATGCAAGCCAGCGTTTTGGTCGCTTTACTAGCCGCCGCATCGCATTGCAGGCTCATGTTCATCTTGTGGTCAATGATGACCCCCAAGTCTCTTTCTTCCATAGTGCTAGCCAACATAGCACTGCCGAGCCTATAAGGATGCTGCGGGTTTTTTTTCCCAAGGTGGAGAACCTTGCATTTATCGGCGTTGAACACCATCAGATTCTCGTCCGCCCACTTGCTGAGCCTGTCCAGGTCAGCCTGGATAACCTGCCTGTCTTCTGGTGTGGATGCTTTGCCCCAAAGTTTGGTGTCATCGGCGAACTTGGCCAGTTCTGATCGCTTCTGACTCCAGTGTCCACATCATTAATGAAGATGTTGAACAGTATGGGTCCAAGGACAGAGCCTTGGGGGACCCCACTGGTCACAGGACACCACGATGAGTGACTTCCATCGATTACTACCCTCTGGGTCCGACCCCGGAGCCAATTTTCCAGCCAGCGGATCGTGGAGGACCCAAGGGGACAATTGGCCAGTTTCTCCCAGAGGCGATCATGGGACACCAGATCGAAGGCTTTTTTGAAGTCAAGATATATGACATCAATCTCTTCTCCCTTGTCCAGGTGATAGGTCACCTGGTCGTAGAAGGAAATGAGATTGGTCAAGCAAGACCTACCCGCAACAAACCCGTGCTGGCTATCCCTTAAGATGTTGGCGTCGGCCAGTCCATTAAGGATGGCCTCTTTAATAAACTTTTCTAAGATCTTCCCCGGGATAGAAGTCAGGCTGATGGGCCTATAGTTAGCTGGATCCACTTTCCTCCCTTTCTTGAAGATAGGCACCACATTGGCCTTCTTCCAGTCTTCGGGCACTACACCAGAGCGCCAAGAGTTTTCAAAGATCCGTGCTAGAGGCTGGGCTATGATGCTCGCCAGCTCCTTGAGTACCCTGGGGTGAAGATTGTCAGGGCCAGCTGACTTGAAGGTATCCAGCTTCTCAAGATGTTCCTTCACAAAGTCAGCATTAAGGGAGGGCAGGGGATCACCCTCACCCGGACTTCCCGGCCCTGTAGCGGGCATGGGCGTCCCATGGGACTGATGAAAGACTGACGCAAAGTACCTATTTAATAGGTTGGCTTTTTCCTGGGCGTCAGTTGTGTGTGTGTGAAGGGTGTGTGTGTGTAAATGAGCATGTAAGAGAGGGGTTGTATGGGTGGGTGTAGGAGGCATGTGAGAGAAACAAGGTGCATGTAAGGGGTATATGCGTGTGAGGGGTGTGTGTAAATGTGTGCATAAGAGAGGGGGTACATGGGTGAAGGCGACGTGAGAGAAAAGGGGTGATATAAGGGTGTGTGCGCATGTGATAAATGTGTGTGTGTAAATGAGTGTGTAAGAGAAGGGTTGCACAGATATAGGAGGTGTGTGAGAGAAAAGGAATTCATGTAAGGGGGGTGTGAGGGGGTGTGTAAATGTGTGTATAAGAGAGGGGGTGCATGGGTGCAGGAGGCGTGTGAGAGAAAGGGGGTGAGCTGCAAATGTGCAAGAGGTGGGTGTGTATGTGTGTGCAAGAGAGTGTGTGCAACATGTGCTGGGGACAGGGTCTGTAAGAGAACAGGGGGATGGATGTGTGGAAGAGTCATGTGTACAAGAGAGGGGATGTGTGTATGAGGGAGAGTGTACGTGTGCCAGTGTGTGCATGAGAGAGCACATGCCCTGCCCTCCGGGCTCTGGCTGGGGGTGTGTGCAAACGCTGGCAGGCTGCAGCCCTGCCCGGGCAACCCTCGCCTCGCCCCGCTCCTTTCTTTCCCTGTGAGATTTGCAGCTGAAAGGCCCCGTGTTCCTCCCTGCATTGCCTTGTGTTGCAGCTGCTTGCTGCGCTGGGATGAGATTGTGCTGCGTCATGCTGAGCTGGTCCTCCCGGGGGAAGGCGGGGGAGGCAGGGAGAGGCAGGCTGGGCTTGGCCACACTCTCGCCCTGGGCAGCTAGAGAGTGGGTAAGAGCCAGGTACTATGTCTTGGGGGTGGCGGGGGCATTTGTGGGCCTCAGATCATGTCCAGCTGCGGGTTGCTTGGGCTGGAAGAAGCAAAGAAAAGCCAAGACCCTGATATGAACTTGTGCTCTGGTTTTGGTCTCTTGCTGCTTTCCCATCTCCCTTTGCAATGGGGTGTTTTGATCTGTCAGCTCGTGTGTGTGTGTGTGTGTGTGGGGGGTGGGGGGTGGGGTGCTCTCTCTGCTTTCCAAGATATGCTGGCAGCATTTTAAAAACAGGATCTCTTTCCTTGACAGCTTGTTTTGTTTGGGGGTTTTTTTGGAAGTCCTGGAAACCACATCTGCTCGGAAAAAGAGGGATGGCTGCTGTGAGGCAGGTTGTCAAAACTGTCATGAGCAAGGAACAGATGGAAGGGGTCGGGGCACGTGTTCGAAGAAGCATTGGCACTCGTGAGGTAGGCATTGCACTAACTGCCTCTCCCCCTGAGGAGATGGGATGTTGCATTGAATTGTGAGCCTTTCCTGGTTTTGCATCTACCCTTTAACCTAAGCCACAAAATGGACTGGAAAGAATAGCATCAGGAACAAGTGGTAAGTGCCCAGACCTGGGTTAGGGTGTGATGTGGCTCATGCCCCATAATTCATGCATGATAATTTCATTCGTGATAATTCATGCACCAGGTAAGGGGTGTTGAACTCGTCTTGGCCCCGCAGGCTGGATGAGTGGTATGGGCTTCATGGGATGTATTGTGCCCACAGACAGCCTGGTCTCCCTATGCTGGATCTAGCATGTGTGGCTCTCACACTGGGACCCATGCCAGATGACACTAGTTTGGACACGTTGAGACCCACGATACACGACACTCCGTATGGGGAGTCCCACAATTCCCCCCACTTTCTCCCTTCCCCTAGGCTGTTTGGGGACTGCACCTTATGCAGTATCCACTCCAGCCACTTTGGTCTGGAGTGGGCAGGTCCCAGACTGGGTGGGGCGGACACTGTGTGGCATAGGTCTGGCATCTGTCGGTGAGGGTCCCGGGGCAGCGGCCATGTGTAGTGTGGATTCTGGACTGGTCAGTGTGGGTACCACATGCAGCATTTGTCCCAGGCCCTGTGTGTGAGGCCTGTCCAGGGGTGTATGGGTCAACACAGCCTCAGGGGCAGAACTGGGGGCCAGATGATGGGGTCCCTGGACAAGATCCGGTTGGGGGCTATATCTTTGTCATGCCTGCACTAAGGAATACAGTCTCTTTGGACCTTGAGGAACCTATGGAGGTTGGAGCAAAGGTTAAATCCAGTGAAAGTCCAACCCCCAAGCCCTTCCTTATCTTATATTAGTTGATGGAATTGAAAGACCAGGAGGGATAAGGGTCTCATAAGCTTGCAGGACAACTGGGTCCAAATACTTTATATACGGGGCAGGAAGAAGAAACCAGAGAGCTGAGGATGACTGATGTTAGCAGTCAAAATGTCATGTGAAAAGACATCAGGCTATCCTGGGATTGTGTTTGCACCCTGGAAGGAAAGAACTTTATTTTTAAACTGTATTTATTCCCTGGAGGAAATGAACTGGGAGGGCTGGAATTTGAGTCTGGATAAGTCAATCTGTGATAGTTGGGAATCCCCATAGGACTCAGTCATAGAAGCATGGCTTCAGAAGGATATAATAATGAACTTCACTGAGAATATTTTGTGAGATCGGGGCTTAGCTCCAAATCTTTAATAATTTGACTCTGTGGAGTCTGTTGACATTTCAGTTGTCTAGGTGAATCTAAGGCCCCCCAAAAAAGGACAGAAAGGGATGCTCAGCCAGATAAGATGGAGATGATGCTGTGAAAACATCAGGAGGAACTGAGAATGTCCATACCAGCTTCTATTACTTTTTAATTCCAAATTTAGTCAATCAGTGTAACAAGTGGATGACATGTTGGCAGAAATTAGTGATAACTAGCTGCAACAGGACTCGCATCCAGTGGAGCTGTAGCACCCTCCAGTGGACACATTACTCCTGCCTCCTCTGCTGTCTTCGGGTGCCTTGACTTCCTGCTTGCCTGTCACACCTTGATGGTGTTTAGAAAAGTTTCATAGTTTCATAGTTGGTAGGGGTGGAAGGGACGTGAGCAGGTCATTAAGTCTGACCCCCTGCCATGGGCAGGAAAGAATGCTGGGGTCAAACGACCCCGGCAAGGTGATTATCTAGCCTCCTTTTGAAGACCCCCAGGGTAGGAGCGAGCACCACTTCCCTTGGAAGTTGGTCCCAGATCCTAGCTGCCCTGACTGTGAAGTAGTGCTCCCTGATGTCTAGCCTGAACCTACTCTTAGTCAACTTATGGCTGTTACTCCTAGTTACTCCTGGTAGTGCTCAGGGGAACAGGGTCTCTCCCGTTCCCTGCTGGTCCCTCTTGGTAAGTTTATAGACAGCCATCAGATCCCCTCTCAGCCTTCCCTGGTGGAGGCTGAACAGGTTCAGGTCCCGTAGCCTTTCCTTGTAGGGCCTGCCCTGTTGTCCTCTGATCATGCGAGTGGCCCTTCTTTGGACCCTTTCAATGCTGTCTACATCCCTCCTGAAGTGCGGTGCCCAGAACTGAAAAAGAAAGGCTGGGAAGCTGCCCTGAGGCCCAGAGAGAGTTCAGTCTACTGCCAGGCTGCCTGGGTCTGATCTATCGTGGCACCTCAACCCTATCAGTGTCCCAGGATAGGAGGTGCCTTAAGTTCTGTGTTCACGCTTTCTTCTACCCCTATAGCCATGCCCAGGCCTTATAGATGTTACCAGTTATATCACTGCAGCAGGGTGGCTTGCCTCAGTGCAAGTTTTGTCCTAATTGGGCCTCCAAACCTTTGTTAAGGGCAGAGGTAGATTAAGATTTATTGGGGCTCTGGGAAAACAGAAAATTGGAGGCCCCCTATGCCCCATTATAAACATGAATGTATTAAAAAGCATCAATAGATCCATTAAATGTTTACATGGTACATTAATAAATAAAGTACAACACATAATGTCAAAATTAACTACTTAATTTTGCCATCTATTAGTGTCCTGGTATTTCAAAATGGTGGCAGGGGTGCTTGAAGTAAAGTTTTTTGAATGAGCTTTAGTTTAAGTGCTGCCACCACCATTTTTAAGCATGGGGACCCTGACACATGAGAGACTGTGGCACTTTAATTTGAGCAATTCTCAGAGTCACTCTAATTAAAGTGCCACCCCCCACCCCCACAGCCAAGGGGCCAAGGGGCAGCTTCCTAAACCTGCCCAGCAAGGCTGAGGCTGAAGGGGAAGGTGTGAGCCTTCCTGGCTGCCCAGGGCTGGGTGGTCTCTGGGCCAGGCTCCCAGCTCTTCTCCCTCTGCCCAGGGCAGGGCCTATTAAAGACTATATGGCTACAGTGTTTTAGACTAAGTACAGCCAGTCAAAAAGTCCAAAGCTAATTGATTCAGTCTTTGCAGGTTAATCTAAACTGCAGAGATTAAATTGAAAAACAACTGGACAGACATTTACATTTGATTCAGGTAATGCAGCCAAATGACTGCAGTAGCTCAGGCCAGAAGCCGGGGATAGCACTAGAGCACTGTGTGTTCACTTCTTCTTTCTGCTGCCCCAAGGTCTCTGGGATTTGCAGTCCAGAATTACAGTAGCAGGACTCTGCAGGGTTGCTCATCACTTCCTCTTGCTGCTTCCAGGTGCCTCTGGGAGTTGTAGTCCACAGTCGCAACCAGCAGTAAATTTGAGCTGGGAAAGGGGTGTTTAGATCCCAGCCAGGGTTTGCCTGGGGGGGCATCCCCACCTTCTCCTGCATCCCCATATGGGTTCCCCTCCCCACCTCCCTCTTCAGCCAGCCCTCACTGCTCCTGCTAGGGAGCAGAGGAGCAGGGCCAGCCCTGCTCTCCAGAGCAGACAGCACACCCCAGCCCAGGGCTGCAAAGCATGCTGGGATGCCAGGGGACTATGGTTTAACTTGAACCAGGAAAAGGTCTGGTACAGAAGTTTCATAAACCAATTGGACCCAAATCAGTTAAGTCTGATATTTATTACATTCAACCAGGTTTATCTCAAACCAATTTCAGCCATTTTGAAACTGAGCTTCTGTGCTAAGTTTCTGGTCACTTAAGCCAGTTTATGTGTAATTTCTGTTCCTAGCCTTAGGTACCTTGGGACAAAAGAGGCAACAAATGTTGGGTTTTATTATTTGAAGCCTCCTGCAGTCTCATCAGTGGGAATTTCTTCTTTGCTTTGAACACACTGAGGACATCAGTTATCTGACAATTGGTTAAGTACCCAGACTACTTAAATGTTTTAATATTTTTCAGCCCAACTGTCTATTTTTTGTAAGTAAGTTGGTGAAGTGAAGTTCATAAGCTTGTTTTCAAAAGGAGTTTTGTAAATTCCCTTTGAGGCTTGGATTTATGGCACATTATAACTTGCCTAACATCTGATACCCCAGGTACCTCTCTACACTTTACTAGCTACAGGTACATTTCAAAAAGCCAATTTCAACAACCAAGACTAATTTTAATATTTATTTTATGCTTCCCCCCCACCTTGGTTGACATCTGATACCTTGATACCTACAGGTAAAGAACCTGCTTTTTTTCCCTGCATCCCTCCTAAATTTGCATTTCTGCAAAACAGGTTTCTAAAGACTGGCTTTTTTCATACCTGAGGAATTCTGACCATCTTTCATATCTCTCACCATTTTTTCTTTCTTTTTTTTTTTTTTCTGAGGAAGGACATGTGTCCAAAAGCTTGCAAATAACAACTTTTTTGCTACTATTTAGTTGATCTAATAAAAGATATTGCCTCTACCCAAAGACTCCAGCTATAGGTCAACATGAGCCTCCCTCCATCCCTACCTGTTTCTCACCCATTGTCTGCCACAATTTGCATTTTCACTGACTGGCATATTGCATTTTAGCTTCTGGGATAAGCCATCCAGGAAGAGCACAAAACACCTGCAGACTCTTCCTCTGCCTGAACAATGGTGTTTGTACCTGAAAGCTTGCAAAGAAGATTTTTTCCAACTATTTTAGTTGGTTTATTAAAAGACAGATTATAGTTGTGGTTTTACCAGCCTGACTGTATTTGCATTGTACTGAGCTACAAGGACAATGGAGCATGCCTCCTGGCCAGTTTGATTCTTCTTTGATTCTGTCTGTTTGTGGATAGCCTTTTGGAGGCTGTCCCCTTTTTTAAAACTGTACATCTGCATTTTTTAAAAACACATAGCCTAAATTTAGGCTTTAAAGACTTTGGGTATCTAGATAAGTGGCCTGAAGATTTTTCAAGTGTGCTAAGCACCCCATTCACTTAGAAGCCTAGCTTCAGACATGGAGCTTTTAAAATAATTTGCTCAACTGCTTAGACTAGTATTTAGCTTGGGTCTTTTTGCACTGCTGCCTTTGCCCTGGGGCCCTGCACCCTGTCTGGGCAGCAGGGCAGGGCAGAGCGATCTGAGCAAACAGTGTGCAGACTGCCTCCACCCCGTGCACAATTCTGGGGGGCACATGCCCCCCCCCCACATGCCTCCCCCTACCTGGGGGTGTGCACAGCAACAGGGAGCTGCCCCTCCTTCTACTCCCAGCCCCATGGACGAGCTGCCCATGCCTCCGTCCTGCTCCCTGCCCCAGGCATGCACTGTTATGGCTAGGGCTGGGCAGCACCATGCCCCCAGCCTCAGCCTTAACCCCTGCCCCCTCCCGTAATGTGGGGGCTTCGATTTGCCCCCCTCCACATGCCTTTTCTTCCCCTCCACAGACTTACCTGCACTGTGCATGGACTTGCTCTCTGCTGGGCTACACAGCTGCTTTCTGCCAGGCTCCTGGCCACCTGCATGCCTGTGGCTGGCTGTGCATATGCACGCCATGCTGCCTGCTTCTCATTCTCAGGGCTCTCATTTGCAGAAGGCCCCTGGACCAGTGCCCAGCAGGTCCCTGAATTAATCCGCCTCTGGTTGGGGGCTTCATCCTTTTCGGCTTTGGCTCCTGTTTCTCTGGATGGGCCTCCCTTTAGCCAAGGTCCACTGTGCTGGACTTTGGCTCTTGGGCACCAGCCCTGCCTCCCATTCTGGGCCTCTGGCCCCAGACACCCACTTTGAGATCTTGGCCCCAGTCATCCTCCTTGGGCTCTCACCCTAGCCCTCAAAGCCCTGGGCCATCTCCTATTTCAAGCTTTTGACAATCTTGGTTTCCATGTGCCTGTGTCCTGAGCCCAGGCTCTGGTAGAGCTTAAATCTCCATGTGCCCCTTGGGCACCCCTGTGGCCTCTTCACTGCTTTTAGCTACACCTGGTCTGCTGGTATAAACTCAAACAGTGGTTCTCAACCCTTTTTGTAGAAGGACCCATTTGTAAACTTCAGTGGTCAGTCTTGACCCAGTGCCCCTCACTTCTGTCCTGCTGTCCCACATTCCCAGGCCCTAGCCCCCCAAGCATGTGGGGCAGGATGGGTGTGTGGGGGACAAGGGCCAAGCATCCCCTTGCAGACTGGAACTACCAGCCTGCAAGGGAAAAGCCAGTTTCCCACATTTTTCTCCTTTAAAGGACAATCCATTTTTAAAGTTTGTTTGAGACCTTTCTGTCTCTAGTGGGTTATGGAATAGAGAAAATCCCACACAATTTACTGATTCGTTTTGATGCACTGGCTGGGGGAGTAGTTAGCTGATTGCACGATTTCATAATGATTACACACTTAATTCATACAACACAATTTTATTTTAAAATTCTTTGCTACGTATATAACACTGCTTAGCTTTAAGAAACACCACAAACATTAAGAACACAATAATTACATATATCAGAAACAATGCTCCGAATGCACTTCCTTCCCAAACAATGCTATAAGAATTAGTGTTACAAAAACAACTACAATTACAACTAAAAGTTAAATTTGAATCAATACTGTTATTTTCATAATATACTTACAATCCTAGAATTCCGAGAAGCCAAATACCAAAATATGGTTTCATTCCTCAGTAGTACGATTTAATGGGTTGGCCTCAGTAGTACAGTTCAATGGGCTCGTCTCAGCAATACAATTCAATAGACTGGCCTCAGCAATACGATTAAATGAGCTGGGCTCAGCAGTGATAGGACTAAGTCCCCTTCCTTCAGTCCCTTTCGGGCGCTCTGCAGCTTCAGCATGAACTAAGAGATTCGTGTTCATGGAGAGGTTGGGTCAGGTGATCAGTCTGTTCCGGGCTACACTTGCGATTCTTCCTTCGTTGTTCTGCAAGTGAAGTCACCTCCAAATTGGGACAGTAGGTTACAGTTTTTATTGAGTGAGCTGCCGTCAGTGGGCTCCTCCTACTCAACTTGTCACTACTCCCAAATTTGGGCTCGGATCTTACTCAACAGATTCTTTTGAAATTACCTTTGTTGAGCATTTTAAATTATTCTTGGGGAGACTTCCATATCACTGTAAATACCCTTTTCTTACCAATTTGGTTAAAAGGCCCTAGGCTTTGATGTCTTGGAATTCAGGATATTTGCTGTCTTTGTAAAAGACTTCTAAAGATAAAATTTAAATTAAGACTTTAACCGAAGTCAGGACATTTTACACATAGTCCCAAAAACAATGAACTAGATAAGGAGATAAATCCTATCTTCTTCCTGAAACTGGCTAATGGGCAACCTTTACAAACATTCAAACTATTTCATTCAATATGACACTTTCCTATATTCTTGCAACCCACGGGTTGAGAAACACTGAACTAGAACATAAAGGCAAGCTGTTACTTTAACTAAACCAAACCCACTCTGGGTAAACAAACATTAGAGGAAAAAAAGGCAGGTTATGGCTTTAATGAAAACTTCCTCCCATGCTGGGTAAATGAACTTAGAGCAGTTAGTGCTGAAGTGACTTAGTGGGTGCTGAACTGCTCTCCACACTCTGGAGCACTTCAGCACCTGCAAGGGGTTCTTGTGCAGCTGCTTTCCCCAGAGAACTCTGCTCCCTGCAAGGTGCCTCTTTTTCCCCAAGGCACCCAACTTATCTTCCCAAGCTACTGCCCTATTTGAGTCAGATGACTTGCTAGCTCACACAGATGTTTGCCTTTAGGTCTAATGAATAGCCCAGTCTTCCCCGTTGCTGCTTAGGTCTGCTGCATGCGGCCTCTCTCTCAGCTGCCTATCTGCCTTTACAGCAGGTGTGTCCCCCCCTTTTTAGTAACAGAAGCCTCTGGCTCCCTGTTACACTGGTCTTAAATGAATGAGTGGCAGTTGGATTAAAAATATACAGTATTTCTGCTTTGGTTTGGAGATTGTGGCTTTCAGATGAGGAGCATACCAGATATATATGTCATAGGCAGACATTTATCATGCCACATGTTCAGGGAATTTATAGTGGGATAAAATGGCAAACAAGCCAAAAAGATGTTCCCCACTGGATCTGTGCTCAGGGACATCCAAACCTCCATGCTGAAGCTGATGCAGTCACACGATTAGGATCTGACATGGCAGGACATACAATTTTTGAGGGATTGGCAATAAAATTCCTCAGATCCTAATCGCGTGATCATATTAATGTCTGCCAACAGCGTCAGACTCCCTGAGACTGGTTTAGTACAGTCAACACTACTGAGGCTACCCCTAGGAACTTGAGAAAACTGCTGTTGAAGAATCAAGTTGTCTACTTGCTTAGTGCAGTCTCACACAGAGTTCATATTACACCTGTGCTCTTCAAAGCTTGTGCTGGCTCCTACTTTGCATCTAGCTACAATTCAAAGATGCTGGTTCATCTTGGTCCTAATAGAGCTCTAATGTGTTTGGCTACTTGCCATCTTTCACCCTGCTGCTTTAACTTTGTGTTAGCAGTTAAGGTGAGCTGAGGCAGGTGTTGGCAACATACCGCCTGTGGGGCCACCGAATCTGCCCTATGGAGCTGAAAGCCTTTGGCTCTCTGCACCAGTATTGGGGCTGAGCAGCTGTGCTGGGGCTGGGTAGCTGGAACCTGCATCTGCATTGCCACTGCTTTTTTCATTCTCTGCTCCCTGGCTGTAGCACTGGTGTCGCTGCCAGCTGGTGGGAAATTGAGCCATGCCTATGCTGAAGCTGGAAGGGGGAACTAAGGAGAAGTGGCAGCATGGGCATAGTTTCCAGAAGCCCAGCCCTAGTGCAGCTTTCCCCTTCTAGAAGTTGCCTTTGCAATCATCCTGGGGAGCCAGGGATTGAGAAAAGCAGCAGCACAGCTTCCTGGTCCTGGCATGGATACAGAGAAACTCCCTTTCCTGCTGGCTTGCTACCAAAATCCCCCAGCTTGCTCTGGACTGTCACTGGGTTGTTCTGACCTGTAGCTTGAAAATGTTGCCAGCCCCTGAGTTAAGGCTTTCAATTTTTTTCTATGATTTTATACCCAGAGAAGTTGTGGAATCTTCATCCTTGGAGGCAGTGTCGTAGCAATGAAGTTTGGTGCCCGGGGCAAAGCCCACAGCGGCAGCCTGCCCTCACCCCATGTGCAGATCTGGGGGGGCCCATGCTTCCCTATGCTTGCCCAGGAGTGCACGCAGGGGTGGGAGCCACCCTTCCCCTGTCCCCATGCCCCACCCCCTGCCCCCAAAGTGAGCCACTCACAGCTCTGTCCCACACGCTGCCCTGGCTGGGCAGCGCCTGTTGGTGCCCCTTCGCTTCGGTGCCCTGCTCGTCCCTGTGTAGGGGGTTGGACTAGATGACTTCCTGAGGTCCCTTTCAACCCTCATTTTCTATGATTCTAATAGGGGACTTTGTGACATGGGGTTATCTTGACTTTGGGGCTCTTGAATTCACCTAATCCTTCAGAATCAGCATCCATAGACTTTGCACTATGCCCAGAAGATCAATCTATTTATTCATGCTTTGGTGTGAGTGGATAGTGAGGTTGAGAATACAAGGCTCTTTTTAGTTTGTTACCACTCTGTAAATATATTTTAATTGTTTTAAAACTAGTGCGTATAAATGTTAAGAAAGTGTTTTGAATGTTATGCTTTGCATGGGAGTAGTTGAGTTTCTACAATTTCATTTTTATCAGGATTCATCTAATTTAATCGAGAATTTTGAAGGGAGATGAGTGAAGGACAGAACGCTATCTATGATAGTCAGTATTCCTTACAATTTCATGATTTGTGTTTGGCAGTAAAAGCAGAAATTGATTTAAAAAAATCTGTGTCTAAGTGCCCTAAATTGTTTTTATTCCAGTTAAGAAATCTGGATCCTTTTCTGTTGCTTGATGAATTCAAAGGTGGGAAACCAGCTGGCTTTCCTGATCACCCCCACCGGGGTTTTGAAACAGTAAGTAATTCTAACTGGCATTTATGATGTGCTTGTCACAAGCGAGTACTCGTTAGTGTTGCTGCAACACATGATCTGTTACTGCATCTATAATAAAGCAAGTATAGATTGCTCTGATGTGTTATCTATAATACCTTGGGCACTATTAATTTTTATCACAAATTTGGGGTGCAAATCTGCAACCTTCCCCAGCTTTCCATGTCTCTTCACTAAAAAACAAATGAGGGTGGGCTGAGTTTTGACACTGTTGGTGTTTTGTATTTTTACATTTTTTATTTTTAAACTGACATTTTTTAGTCCTTTTCATGTTGTGTTTTTTAGACAGGGTTACATATACTTCCATTCTATTATTTTATCCACAGTTTATTATGGTCTGGATTAATAATCTGTCTTGACAGCAATGCTAGTTTGTTTTTTACTTTATAATGTGGCATGAAACCTCTGTAAGGTGGGGAGAAGCCTTGCTACACCTATGCCTAGGAAATAATAGGATGGTATCTGCAGGATTCTTGAAGGAAGGGAATGATCCTAGAATAATACCTCAGTACCATGCCAGGGAGTGCCACAGTGGTGCATGCTGTGTTTATTTCACATGTACTGCCTTCTAAAACAGAAATAACATAGAAGTGCTTGGCATTTGCCAATGAGCTCTCCCAAGCTCTTCTAATGGCATGAACTCACTGGGGTGTGCTCAGTGCCACATGAAAAGACAACTACATTATTTGGAGGTAGTGTAAGCAGATTGTCTCACTTCGGTGCTTCTTGGCATGCTACTGAATTGGCATGGTATCTATATAGGGTTTTTTGGGGGTGGGTGGGAAGAAACAAAGTCTTACTATTTCTTTAATGACAGGATTTGAAGCTTCATAGTGTAGGCAGAGGCAAGACCTCTCCCTGTCTGCCACATCAGGACAAATTCTGGTAAGGAGAGAAGCATGTACTATACCCGCTTTCCTCATAGGAAAAGTTGCTGGCAGGAAGAAAACTGCTTGCATGTCCTTCTTAGAACAAGAGGAAGGGAATGAATTGTTTTGACCTTGACTCCAAGCTTTGCAGGAAAACTGCAGCCTAGAGAGGAAATGGCTTCATTCTGAACTGTTGTAGTTTGGGGTTTTGCTTAATTGGTAGGCTTTGCTGCTGCTCTTAACCGATAGCTCCTGGAGAAGAGCAAGTGTTTCACCCCATGCTGGGCAGCCCTTTCAGTGGGAACTCTCTTAATGGGCTTGCCTCCTGTTGCACCCTCAGAGCCCATCTGGATGGCACCTGTATCCATGGAGCTGATTCCATGGGGCATTGGGATGAAGAGTCTCTGAGGGCTTGGTTTCGGGGCAGTGCCACCCTACGAGATCCTATGTGCATGACTCTGGCATGACTCCGGGGGGGTGGCATGACTCTGTGGAGCAGTGATGCTGGAAACCCAGGCCAGGTGTCACTGGGGGCACCCAGGATGGAGGGCTCAGTGTGGGGCAGCACTGTGGCACATGGGACTGTATGAGGTGTGTCTTGCTGTGTTTCTGGGGTCACTTGGCTTGGTGAGGGGCAGTGACAGAACCAGTCTTGCTCTGGGCTCCCAGGACTCAAAGCCGGTGCAGGCATGCAGGTCCTGGTCTGGAACTGCTGGGCAGGGCCAGCCCATGGCAGGGGCATAACTAATAAGGGTTATGCCTCGGGCAAAGCTCCCCTGTGCCCTGTGGTGTGGGGGTGGGGGGGAGCTGAGTGCCAGAGAGTGAAGAGAGAGAAGGAGGCTTTTACCAGTCTTACCTCAGCCAGCAGCATTGAATGTTCCTGCCCACCCCTCCAGTGGGGCTCACTTCACCATGGAGCAGCAGAGAAGGTGAGTGAGGAGAGTGTAGATTCCCACACAAACTTTCCCCTCCCCAATTTGCTCAGAGCTGTGACCTAGTCCCACTCCTACTATTGCTCCAAGGCCTCTTCGCTTTACTTAGAAGGGTGAGAAAAGCATGAGCATGTCATTTGTAGCATGCATGTCTTGGGCTGGCTACCCCTGCGCTAGACCAGCTCTGGCCCATGGAGCTATATCATCCAGCCTGCAGGACTCCTGAAAGGTCCAGAAATGTGATGGTGGGGGAGTGGTAGCAGTGTTAATTACTGCTGTCCTGCTGCCTAATTTCTGAATCTGTGGTCTGGATGAAGTGGCCCTGCACACTGCTCAGTCTGGTAGGCAAGTGATGCAGGGCTGAATCAGGGTTGTGTGAAGCTGGACCAAGGTGCTGAGAAGCAGGTGGCCAGATTGGTGTGATGCCAGATTGGGCCCATGGCCATGAGAGGGATCTGGTCTATAGACTGACCCTATGCCACTCATCCAGGATGCAGGCCCAGAAGGTTGAGTGCCACTGTGCTAGGCTATTCATTGCTATCAAAATCCTGGGCAGACAATAAGCATGGAACCCTACAGTGCATCTTAAGCAGTGAATTTCTCATTCTGCATTTGTTTTTTTCTTCTTGAGTGAAATTCATTTTTGCACAGTCCACGTTACAGGTTTAAGTTGGCATGTAGGATCTGTAAAGGCTGTGAACACGGGTGAATTTCATTCTTATAGAATGCCTGTGAAGGAAGACGCTGAGCAATGGGATAACTCTTCACTTACAGTTCAAGAGCCAAGCAAAAAAATGCCATTGTCCAATTGGGTGACACTGGGTGTGAAATTCAGACTGTTGCACAAATTGGGTCGGTTGAATTTTATGCCCTGTTCGCCATGTGATTCTGGGAATGGAACATAAGATCTTTTTTTTTTTAAAGGAGGACAAACATATTCACCAAATGTTTAAAATTTACTGCAATTTAAGAAAGTGAATATTTTGTTAAAAAATCCTATATACAATATAAGACCTAAGACTATACACAATACGGCCAGTTCCAAGCATTCAGAAATCATGAGTTAGGCATCAAAGACTCCTGAGATTTTTCAAAGTGAACAGACCTGCCAGTCTTTTTATTTGCCTTTTGGTTTTATGCCTCTGAGGCTTGCTCACATTGCATTTTCAAGGTTTTCTTCCTACCCTTGAGGGTTAGAACCTTTTTAATTTCAGAGAAAACTGAAAGGCTTGTTTATCCATTTGCATTTAGGACCTGGAGCTTTCAGGAAAGCACCAAATATCATGAGATTCACAGAAAGAACAGAAAAATCGGCAACTCTGAATGCCTGTTTTGAATAACTGATTTGTGACAACAGTGCTCTGAATATGTAAATCTGCCATTTTTATCCGTGCTTTATCATCACATTGTATTTTCCAGGGGAGCCAGACGATGGCAGTGTTTAGCAGCCAATAAATAAATAAAGCCTAAATAAGAATTCATATCATACTTAATAGCCTGTGTCTCTGGGAGTGTGTGTTTGGGGCGTGTGGGTGGCGGGAAATAAGAAAACTATTTGGGGGTTGGGGGCAGCAGTGGCAGAATAAGAAAAGTATTCTGATAAGGAATAACATCCAGGGCCTGCTGAAAGGCAAAGTGGTCTTTGGACATTGGATCTGGACCTTTATTTCATAAACAACTGTCTTCTATCTAACTCAGTGATTTTTTTTTTCAACCAACTGCTCAAAAACCTACATATGATTCACAAGACAAACTTGGAGATTAAAAATAGGAGTTCATAATGGCCAGAACATTCTGACCTGCTATGGGCTTTCTGAGCTCTTTGAAACAGGAGAATTGCTCTGTTATTTTCCTGTGGTTCAAATGAGAAAAAACGAAAAACTTCCATTTTCTGAAGGGTGCCTTGAGTTTCAGAAGGTTGAGAACTACTGATCTAGCTCAACATTTGGCTTAGAAGGGTGAGAGATCAAGGCAAACACTTCCAGGGTCTTTGAATGTGCTAATTGAGAAAGGTATTTATTTGCTCTACTGGGATGGGGATTACTTTGTTAAGGTGTAATTATAATTGCAAACTCATTTTCATTGCTTATTTTATTATAATATGTCCAACTTTTGAGTTGCCAGGGTCACACACATACCATGCCATGCTGCACCATGTGGGCAGTGCTCCACCCCATGCTGTGCAGCAGATGCCTCAGCCACTGCACTGTGCTGCATACCCCTCCTCTTGTGGCACGCAGAGCCCTTAGGTCTACCGCTGCTGCTACTAGAGTCTCCAGGTTCCCTTGGCCACCCAACCTGGCTCTCCCCCACTGGGGCAGAGTCAGAAAACAGAAGCAGGAGGAGAGAGGGGGAACCTGGAGATTCCCGTGGCTGCAGCAGTAGCTGGAATGGCAAAAGGAATGGCACTGGGACCAGGAGTCCAGGGGCTGCAGCTTAACTGCTTGGGGCCCAATTGCATTCTGTAGGCCACTGGTTGAACAGCCCTGCTTTAATGCAAGACACTATTTTTAGTAGAATGAGGCATGCATTCATATCTGGAAATATAAAGAAGAACACCTACTGGTAACTAAAAAGATTATGTTATATCTACTACAAGCTACTGCTAGAATTTCTGCTTGTAAACAGAAGAGTGCACTCCCCCCAAAATACAGATGAGTGCAGAAAGCTCTTATGATCTGAAAAAAAGAACGCAACCCAAACAGTGTTTCGAATTATGGCCTTGTGGCTGTTTAGAAGCATTATGGAAGAAGTGGGGAAGAAAGGAAGCCAATTGGTGCCAGTCCAAGCTAAGAGATGCAGGTTCATTTCCCTATTCTGCCACTGAAATCCTATGTGGCCTTTTACATAGGCTGCTGTATAGGCTGCTGCCAGTTATATAGGCTGCTGACAGGCATTCAGATCATTACATAAATTGAGTTTGAGGAATGTTATGCCCTGTTCCCTAAATCGTGTGACATGGAGGATCATGCAGTTCTGGGAATGGGTCATAAGAGTCCTCAAACCCCAGTTGTAAGATGCCAGCATGGGAGGAGAGGACACCTGCATCTAGAAGGAAACAGCAGGAGCTGGAGAAGCTCCCTCATCCCCAGCTACTCATGTTGGGTGCCCTTCTAAGGAAGCACATGCAGCTGGGGGCAGAGGAGCTGCTAGCACTGGGCAG